TCAGACCCAGCCTGTCCCTGAGAGTAATGCCCTGCACCTACTTCCCTCCACCGCATACCACCCCTGTGTCTGTCTTCCATCTGATCCCAGACGCAACTACAGAATGGTGCTAGTGTTAGTGGTTAAGTCAATAGTCAGTGGATTTCCTGCTTGGATCTTTATACCTCCGTGGCTTTCAGGGAAGTCAGGGGAGTTGTAACGTCGTGGGAGTCTGCTGCATCTTGATGGCATTTATCTCCCAGATTTGAATGACCCAGCACTCGCCCACCTCCCACCCAGTTACTCAGAGGTGGAACTTGGGTCCAGTCACTTCCGTTCTCTAGCACAAAGTAGGAACTCCGTGAGTGTTTATAGGACAAGATTCCCACTGCGGATTGCACAGTTAAGTCAAGTTGAAGAACTCTTCAAATCCTTGGTCATCGTCTTGCTTAAGAAGTCCGCCCTCATTCTGCTAAGCGGCTGTCTAACGGCGTATGGAGGGAGGAAGCCTCATGCTTGATCTGCCCTTTGATTATTGGGTAAAGTCGGAACAGGGCACGCCAGCTGGGTAGTGTGATAAGCATGTCCAGCTTCAGTTCCCAAAGACAGTGCACAAGATAAGTCTTATCTCCAGCTCAGAGGAAGTCCAGCCCCAGCCAGCCTGTATCCAACAGCTGTGTATGCAACGCCTGAGCCTTTCCCGGGGAGCCCACAGTGACCGGGACTGGCATACCTTCCCCTGTGAACATCACAGTAGAAGGGTGAGGGTGGATGATGAATAACTGAATTTAGACAAGAGGGTGAGGAGTTTGAGGAAAGGAAGACGATTGGCTATAAGAGCCTAAAAACCTAATCCACAGAGTGTGGAGAGGCTGGGGGTAGGCGTAGGGGGTGGATTCACGGATAAAGTGACATTTCAGCTGAGACATTTTGTTCCAGGGACAGAGTGAGCAGAAAGGGTACACCAGGCAGAGGGAACAATATGTGCAAAGGACCTGAGGTGGGAAGGTAATTGCCCATCCAAGGAACAGAGCGAGGCCAACATGACAGGGTCTGGGGCAGCAAGGAGGGGTGAGTGGCTCAAAATGGCCTAAGATGGCAGATGGGGGTCAGACTGCAGAGTACATCGCCCCATAACCCCAACAGGCACTAGATGATGCACATTTACAAGAAGAACACTGGCTGTGATGTCAGTGAATTTCAGATAAATTGGGGAATAGCCATTCACATTTCAGTGGGATCTTGTAGCACATGGACCTTCCATAGGGTTGCAGTGAGAGGCTAGTTTGTTTTCTCAGGCAGTTTTATTGAACACCTACAAGGTGCCCGGCTGGGGGAGCACAATGCTGGCTAGTTCAGGTTGGCCCTGCCCTCTCAGGGCTGCCAGTCTGGGGGGCAAGGAGGGGCGGTGTTGGACAGGTAGTATCTGTAACGGTGCAGTGAGCATGCGGCCCTCGGAGCCCTGGAGACCTCCACCCGTGTGGTCAGCAGTGTGGAGCCGTCACAGCGGCCACGCCCCGAACCAGGGACTTCACATGCCTGAGTTCTGCTGCCCCAGATGCCGGTGTGCATGTTGTAGCATTTGGCTGTTTGCAGCTCCGGGAACCTTGTGGCTTGGGGGAAGAGAATGTCACCTCCAGTTCCCACTTATGTCTCTAGGTGCTAATCACATGGCCAACTTTGGGCTTGAACCTAAGTCAGAAAACCATCTGGGGACCAGGTCTCCGGAGTGGGGTGAGTCTGTGGCTCTGTCTCCACCTTAGCGCTGAGCCGTGCATCAGATCTCCTCTGCCTGCAGCTCTGTGGCTGATCCGCAGGGACTCCTTAATTTCCACAAATGAAGTGGAGGGTGGGGAATTGTGAGCCAACTTTTAATGAGTCCCCGGCTGTCACTTGAAGTCCTATGACTTGTTCGGTAATGAACCCCATCAGGTTGTGCAGGGAATGGGTCCCAATGTGCTCTTTAATGTCATTGACTCACTCCTGATGGGCCGGACTGTGTTCACCTCTTGCGTCCTCCAGGAAGTTTCCCCAGGGGCCTTGTCTGATGAGCTCTGAACACATGCGGGGAGGGGGGGGGGCTGGAGACGGTGGGTTCAGACAATCCTACTAATCCCTGCTACCCCAGGACATTGCTTCCAGTGAATTCCCTGGGGCGTGTAATTTACTTCTTTAAACAAAGACTCGGTAGCCAGCAAAGTGAATTCTTCCAGTTCTCTTCGGGTTCTCAAACAGATTCTTAGGCAAAGAGAGATTTTGTGCCTTAGGGCACTGGCTCCGTCAACAGACTCAGGTGGAAATCCTGGGAATCCTCCGATGCTCTGTCTGAAAACGGGGAGGCTAATAATAGCATCTGCCTAATGTATAAACTGCCTGGCACTTAGCAAATGTTGGGTAAGTGCTAGATACTATTTTTTTGTCACTCGGGAGAGCCCTGTAGGAGTTTGACTAGAGTGAATGAAGCCTGGGGAAGTTCACCTGCCTGACCCCATGCCTTTGGAACTTCTCCATCCGTTTGTTCATCAAATGTTATTGAGGGATATCTGCGTTCCAGGCTCTAGAAATTCAAACACAGAGCAAGCAAGATGAGCTTCTTTCTGGAGTTTACCTTCTCAGGAGGAGAAACTAGTTTGTGGAAATGTGAGTTACTGAGCCACACAAACAAAATGCTAATTTCAAGGAACCGGATTTGTGCATTCTTTGGGCCAGCTGTAGCCTTGGAGCCAACCAATAAACGGATATTACACCAGAGTCAGGGTGGGCTGTGATGAAACCATTTTCCTGGGTTTGGACCCTTCCCCAGCGAGGGTCAGGTCCCCCTGTTGCTTGTTCAAACCTCCCGTCACAAGAATGCTATGGAGGTGCGTACACACATCGTGTGTGTCTCGGCCTTGTCAGCTTTATCCAGTCATGAAGCAAGGTTAACATAATCGTAAAGCAGGTTCAGGATTCCAAACTCAGCAACGTTTGATACACGTTTAACTTGGCTTCATTTGGGCCACACAAAGCAAAGCACAAGTCAAAGTCACGCAACAGACAAGGCACCGCAAGGGGTAAGACGTGAACAAACCAAATGCGAAGCCCGTCTATGAGCTCACAGCTGGGAAGAGGCTTCGGTCTGGTCTGGGTCAGCTCCCTGCACACGCTGCTTATTATGTTCAAGCACTAAAGGATCTCTGTTATATTCAGATATCAATCCGGCAGAACTTTTGTGAGCAGTTGCCTTTCTGATGCAGTCAGATGTGAAGGACAGCGTCTGGAAAGTCCGACAGTTTGCTGCAAAGATACTCCCTTTTTATTTTATTTTTTTCTTTTATATTGGTTTCCATATAACACCCAGTGCTCATCCCAACAAGTGCCCTCCTCCATGCCCATCTCCCATTTTCTCCTCTTGCCCACCCCCATCACCCCTCGGTTTGTTCTCAGTATTTAGGAGTCTCTTATGGTTTGCCTCCCTCCCTCTCCCCAACTATTTTTCCCCTTCCCCTCCACCTTGGTCCTCTGCTAAGTTTCTCCTGATCCACATATGAGTGAAAACATATGGTATCTGTCTTTCTCTGCCTGACTTATTTCACTCAGCATAACACCCTTGAGTTCCATCCACGTTGCTACACATGGCCAGATTTCATTCTTTCTCATTGCCATGTAGTATTCCATGGTATAGATAAACCACATCTTCTTGATCCATTCGGCACTTGATGGACATTTAGGCTCTTTCCATGATTTGGCTGTTGTTGAAAGTGCTGCTGTGAACATCGGGGCACATGTGTACCTATGCATCAGCTCTCCCTTTTTAAACAGAGTTTAATCAGCCTCGGTCTTCAGCAGATCTCTTTTGGCTCTGCTGGTTTCCAGTTCTGGACGCCATCAGCTTGAGCTGGTTTCGGTGATATCTGGTCTGAACAGCAATGCCTTTGGCTGTGTGTGTCCCCGCTTGACGTAAGCTACTGCTTGACATGAGTGGCTCCATCTTGCTCTCTATGCCGGTGCTATCAGTTCCCCTCTGCCATGAACTGCAAAGTTCACCCAGGTGACAGGTGTGTCACCCTGGTTCTTCATCACTGTCTCTTCCATACTGTGAGTTTTTACTGAATAAATCAGTCGCAAAATACATCCAGAGAAAGCACATGGTTTGATCCACTTCTCCAAGTCATCGTGAGACATCTGGTCAACCCAGCAACTGCATCTTTCTAATAGCTGGACTTCAGCTAAACTTTCCGAACAAAGGGCAGGAAGCCACTCCTAGTTTCTGATGACGCATCTCCATGGTCCTGGAAGAGGATCACGTTTTATTTTTCTCTTCTCCGCCGCAGGGATACAAGCATGCATCTCATCCCCACACAGTTTCAGATTCTAAAGAAAGAGATAGCAAGGACCAGACCAAATTGCTACTTTGCCTTATTCAAAATGACACTTGTTGGAGAACAATTATTCAGAAAGACCTTAACTTTCTTGTGCCATGACTATCTAGCCATGAGTGACACATGCGTATGTAAGCGAGCTTGGGCCAGGTGCCTGGAATGACCATGCCTGATGCCTGCACTTTCCCAGAGACCTTGGTCTCAAGAATCCAGGGTCACAGGGGCACCTGGGTGGCTCAGTTGGTTGAGCGTCTGACTTCGGCTCAGGTCATGATCTCACGGTTCGTGGGTTCGAGCCCTGCATCAGACTCTGTGCTGACAGCTCAGAGCCTGGAGCCCATTTTGGATTCTGTGTCTCCCTCTCTCTCTGCCCCTCCCCCACTCATGCTATGTTACTCCCTGTCTCAATAATAAATAAACATTAAAACAACAAAAAAAAGAATCCAGGGTTATAGATGTGGAGGAAACTGGCATAGGTTTTAGGGTTAACAGAAATGGCCAGACACAATTAACAGATTGAAGGATTTTTTTTTAATGGGATACAGACCCGCTGCTCTGTACAACGTAAATCATAATCACGAAGGTAATGAAGCTGTCTGAGAGGAAAGCAAGAGTCAGACTCCTGAGTAGCCCATGCAGAGGGTACCAGTTGATTTGGGCCCAAAGGAGGATGAGGAAGTGGTTCACAGGAAGTCAGGGGCAGGGAGCATTCCAGGCAGAGAAATCTACAAGAGCAAACACATGGAAGTGTGAAGGGCATGAAGAAAGGGAAGTGGGCAGACTGTGAAGGGGCTTTGGGGTTGTCTTAGAACAATATCACTGGGAACCAGAGAGGAGACTGGAGCAGCAAGAGATGCTGAGGAGAAACTGGAGAGACTAGCTGAGGTAACGGTAATGTTGAATGAATGTGAGGGACCCAATCACCCCGTAGCCACAAGCTTCAGGCTTCTTGTGTTGGAAGAACGCCCCAGATCTGGGGATTTTATGAAACAGAGCTTGGTCCCCTGTATCAGTCAGCGTAAGTTAAATATGCTGCAGTAACAACTGGTGACCTCAAAATCTTAGTGGCCAACAACCACAGAACTTCACTTCTTGGTCATGTTTATGGGTCAGTAGATGCTCTGCTTGAGGGGGTCTTCTTCACTGCAGGACCATATATGAAGGAGTTGCCCTCTCTGGGAAGAAGCTGGTCTTGTGACAAGAACAAAACAAAGATGGCAGACCCACACGAGGCTCTTGAGGTTCCTGCTTAACAGTGGCACATGTCAATTCCCACCACATTTCACTGGCCCAAGCAAGATCATGGCCAAGTCTGGATTTAATCAAAGTTAAGAATTATCATCCTCCTGCAGGGATGGGCCCCAGACGGCTTCTGGGGCATTCCTTCCACTCAGCAGAAATTGGGAAAGGAAATCAAAGGTGAGCAAGCCCAATGCCAAGAAAAGGACCTAGGCTTTGGAGAAATGTCCTCTCTCGTTGCCTCTGTGAGCTCAGAACCCAGAGAAGGCAGGAATGGGGCTTGAGGCTGTTTATCAAGGGTTCTACATCAGTCCCAGGGTTGGAGTATAAGGCTTAGCAGTCTTGCCGCCTCTCACAAATGAAGGCAAATCTGTCTGATTCACAAGAGAAGTTCCTCCAGTATCCATAGTTGTGTATAATCATGCAGGCTGGGGAACTTCCATTATCATGTAGCTCCTTGGACTCCCAGTTGCTGTAAAGAGATGCCCACAAAATTCTTGAGTAGATGGGCCAGTGCCTGAGCCCCCCATCCTGCTATCTCTGAGAGAAGGCCTGGCCCTGAGGTTCTTGAGGTCCCCGGTGGGAATCACTTATTGAGCCCATCTTACAGTAGTCATCTGGTCAACCCCTTCCCATTTTTTTTTTTCCCTAAGTGGAGACACTGAGCTCAAATGGGAGTGGCAACAGTCTTCAGAGAAGCTGGGGGTCTCCAAGCTCTGGGGCCACTATCTCTGACTGCCTCATCTCCCAGACCCTCTCCCTTTCCCCGAGGTCCACTCACCTTGAAGCCACATTTACCCTGTCCAAATTCTAGCTCTTCCACCTGCTGTCTATGTGACCAGGGCAACAGTCTTAATATCCGAGCCTTTGTTTTTCTCTTTTGCAAAATGGGAGCACATTCTGAGGATGTGATGACCCGCGCATGTAAGATATATGGTAGGTGTGCAGACAGCAGATGAGTTTGCCAAAGAGATGAACTCTTCCCTGGGCCTGGCCCCATCCAGAGCAGTTTATCATACAGGGAAAGGCGATGCTGGCAGATGGAAATGTCCAAAAGCAAAGAGTGTGAAAAGGCAGGTAACTGCCAGGAGGGTATAGTGGGTTCAATGTTGTCCCAACTGAAAAGGTACACCCACATCCTAACCCCAGGTGTCTGTGACTGTGACCTTATTTGGGAAAGGGGTCTTTGCATATTAAATTAAGTGAAGGATGCAAAGATGGGATCACCCTCGATTCACTGAGTGAGTCCCTAATCCAATGATAAGTGTCCTTATAAGAGATAGAAGACAGAAGGCACAGGGGAGAGGAGGAGGGTATGTGACCACAAAGACAGAGGTTGGAGTGCTGGGCCCATGAGCCAAGGAATAACTGGAGGCACCAGAAGCTGGAAGAGGCAGGAAAAGACTGTCCCCTACAGTCTTTGGAGGGAGTATAGTCTTGCTGTCGGGTTGGTTTAGGACTCTGTCCTATAGAGCGGTGAGAGAATAGTTTTCTGTTGTTTTAACCACCCAGTTTGTGGCTCTTTGTTACAGCAGCTACAAGAAACCCATACAGTTGGCAAATGCTACATTATTATACTTCTGAATAGGCACATTCAAGGCTCTGAGAAGTCCTGCAACAAAGAACCAGGTTGGTGTTGAATCCACTGTTTCTTGAGCATTTAAATGGGAACACTCTTCCCAAGTAATAAAATAACAATAGCTGGCAGGATAGAAAGGGTGGCTTGTGTTCTGGGAGCTGCTGCACGTAAACAGTGGGTAAATGACGGGAATATCCAGAGGAGTCATAAAATTGCTCTTTAAAAGCCCTGCTGGTCTCTTAGGGGAAGACTGTCTTGGGTTGTTAGGGGCATCCGCATCACAGACAGGGAGACTCACGTGTAGGTGGGGGTTGAGCCATCTGTCCACCTGTGGTTTCCTTTCTGGCTCTCTTTGAAGAGGCCTATCCAGGATGTCCCCTGTTCAGTTGACGTCAGGAAGTCCTAGATGAGAGAAGGCACACTGAGAGGTAAGATTCCATCAGAGCTCGGAGGACAGAGGTTGGAGTGTCCGGGGACTGGAGGAGGGCTAAGGTGCAGAGATTTCGGGTGGGCTGGCAGACAGAGGCTGCCATGCACAGCACTCTGTATCCTGATGCGACCTCCAGACCCACTATGTGCGTGTTGTATGGCCTCAGACATATTATCTACCTCTTGGTTTCTCCATCTGTACAATGGAAAGAATAGAGTCTCCACCTCCCAGCATGTTCTCAAGATCAAAAGAACAGACTGTATGAGGCATGTGCACCTAGAAAGAAGGACTGGACAAATATTGGCTGTGACTGTTTTCTAAGGTCAATCCATATCAGAGCAAGGGGTTTGATCTGTAGGCTGTAGGAATATCTGTGGCTGGAAACCCAACTCAAAAGACATTTTCGATTCCCTTCTTTGGGCCAAGTTTTTTTCCTGGACCAGGAGAGCCAGATATTATTTAGATCCAGCTCCAGATTTACAAGCAGGCAACCTGATGCAGTGTGAAGTTCTGTGACGAAGGCCTCTGGTGGTTATGAGAGAATACGGAGAAGGGATGTTTGTATTGGGGTTTTGACGGGTGAGTAGGAGTTCTCCACACAGATAGCAAGAGGAAGGGCACTCCCAACAGAGGGACCTACATGAATCAGAGCTTGGAGGTAGGACCTCAGTGCACAGGGTCCGTTCCCTGCATGTCATAGCAGTGAGCTTGGGTTGAAGCAAGATGAGGCAGGTCTTGAAGACCATACTCGGACTATCATGGTAGATCCCAAAGGGGACAGAAATACGAACCCCCAAATTCTTGTATAATCCCTCTCCCCACCCGCGAAGATTCTGCCTTCCCTTTCCCACCTGTTCTGCTCGGCTGTTGATGATAACCAGGTGAGCTTGCTTCCGGGCACAAGAATCATTAGCCTGCGTCCAGGTGAGGTTGTCCAGGGAGAAAAAGTAGCAGGAGCCCTGAAAGAACTTCCAGTCCAGGGGGCAGGGCTCACATGAGGATTCTGTGAGAACGGAGCCATTAGCCAAACCGGCATGTCCAGTTTTCCATCCGGTGAGGCAGTGTGTCGCCCTTCACCCCCACATTCCCAATGGCCCCCCTTGAACACACCCAACAGTTGGAAACTCACTACCTGGTAAGATGGTGCTCCCCATTATTGAAACTCATCAGATGGAAATAGGAAAATGCTACAGATAGCTTATGAGATGGGAAAAAGGGACTCAAGGAACAGTGTGAATAATATCCTACTTTTGTGTAAATAGAGGGATGTATGTTTTGATATTTTTTACTTGCTTAAAGAAACTCTAAAGCAGTGTCCTCAACCAGAGGTGATTCTGTCCCCGGGGGACAATGGGCAACATCTGGAGACCTTTTTTGGTTGTCATAACTCAGAGAGGGTTGTCAAGGGGGGTCAAGGCCAGGGATGCTACAATGCACAGGACAGTTTCCCCCCACTGGAAAGCATCATTCAGCCCCAAACGTCAATGGTGCATAGTTTAAGAAACTGTGCTCTAAAGAAAAACATATATAACTATACACTATAATTATAGCGGTTCCTGAGGGGTAGGTGGGAATCCGGCAGTGAGGGCTCAGGGGTGATAGAATTCTCACTGCATTCATCTATATCCAGTTAGTGAATACACACACACACACACACGCACACGCACACACACACAGTTGATTTTTTGGTATTTGCAGACTCCATATTTGCAAATTCAGCTACTTGCTAAAATTGATTGGTAACCCCAAAATCAGTGCTTGTGAGGTTTTCTTGGTCACTCACAGACCTGCGAAGAGTGGCAAAAAGCTGGAGTCTGAAACGAGTAAGGCAAGCTCTGCCTCCCTGCTTCACTTCTCATACTGTAAGCAAGTGTGTCTCCTGTGGGCCATTTTGTGCCACGCTCTTCACATTTTTATGCTTTCTGTTGGCGATTTTGCTGTTCGCAAAGGCCCTCAAGTGTTGTGCTAAAGTGCTGTCAGTGTTGCTAAATGCGCCAGAGGGCTACAGTGTGCCTTAGGGAGAAAACGCGTGTGCACTAGATAACCTTCGTTCATGCTGTTGGCCATGAGTTCAATGTTAATGACACAGTATCTATCAAATATATTTAAATAGGGGCACCTGGTGGCTCAGTCAGGTAAGCATCCATCTCTTGATTTTTTTTTTTAATGTTTTATTTATTTCTGAGAGAGAGAGACAGCATGAGCAGGGGAGGGTCAGAGAGAGAGGGAGACACAGAATCTGAAGCAGGCTCCAGGCTCTGAGCTGTCAGCACAGAGTCCGACGCGGGGCTCGAACCCACAAACCGTGAGATCATGACCTGAGCTGAAGTCGAACACTTAACTGACTGAGCCACCCAGGCGCCCCATCTGTCTCTTGATTTTGACTCAAGCCATGATCTCATGGTTCTTGGGATCGAGCCACGGGTCAGACTCTGTGCTGAAAGCACAGAGCCTGCTTGGGATTCTCTCTCTCCCTGTCTCTCAAAATAAATAAACTTTAGGGGCACCTGGATGGCTCAGTCAGTTAAGTGTCTGACTTTGGCTCAGGTCATGATCTCGGAGTTCAGAAGTTCAAGCCCCATGTTGGGCTCTGTGCTGAAAACTCAGAGCCTGGAGCCTGCTTCAGATTCTGTGTCTCCCTCTCTCTCTGCCCCTCCCTACTTACACTCTGTCTCTCTCAAAAATAAATAAACATTTAAAAAATTTTAATAAAAATAAAAATAAATAAACTTTATATGTATACATAAACACACAAAAACAAGGTTATATATTGATCAGTTGACCAGAGGGTCAAATAAAACTAATGCTGTTATTTCCCTTAAGAGCAATGATTCAGTATTCACCAATTCACCATTTGCAGGGACTCTATAAAACACAGCTACATGAATAATAAGACGGAATGTATGTATAGTGTATCTCATCCACTCACGCAAAAGTTACATAAAAAGTGTGTCGCGCCAAGAACACTCCCTCCAGTAGCATCTGATCCCGTAGTGTTGTTGTTCGGGACCCAGAAATCTACACTGTGGCAAGTTCTGCAGTTACTTGTACCCCTAAGGACCGACCACATTTTGTAGCACACTGGTGTGCTTTGAGAGTGGGGGCTCTGGATCCTGAGAGTCTGTCTTAAAGAAGATAGTGTTAATTTCTCCCCACTTTACAGTTGAGGAAACTGAGGCTCAGAGTAGTTTAAATGGGCCACCCAAGTTCATGCACAACCATGAGCTCAGACCAGATCTGGTGGTCTCAAAAGTCTTGTTTTCCTGGGAGCCCTCTACTGTAAGGACGATCTGATTATGTCACCTCAACTTTCTGGAAAGCTCCGAGGAGCCATTGGCATCGGGGTGCCCCTCTGAGAGCCACGCACCCGAAGCCCCACTGTTACAGGTGCTGACCAGAGCACAGCCTCTTCCCTCCCCCCTTCCCCGCCCCCACTCCTTACCATTGCCCGCCAGTACAGCCTTCATTTGCCGGAACATTTCACCCCGGATGAAGTCCAGGTCATGCCTGGCGTCCCCCAGTCCCTGAGTCACTGGGAGGCCCAAAAAGAAAGGGCTGGTGAAGATCTTGGCAGAGGGAAGAGATATGGTGGGGGGCAGGAGCCCGACCATGTCGAACCCTACTCACCTTTTTTGTTCAGTTGAATGACTTCCCTCTGCACCTGCTTTGTCCTCTTCAAGACTGGGGAGAGGCGCAAGTAGGTGTTCTGGACCCCAGAACCTCCCTGGGGTCTCTCCCTGTTCCCCAAACCCCAAGAAACCAAGGCTTTCTCCCTTTCCCAGGGCAAAGCTTTCTGAAGCTCTGAAATGCCCCACCCGTTTTTCAGTCAAGGAAACTGAGAGGCCCAGAGAGGTAAACGCCCTTGTCTAAGGCAGCCAGCTAGTGAGCAGCAAGGCAGGACTTTTATTCAGGTGTATACTATTCAGCAGGGAGGCTGGAGTTCGAGTCCCATTCAGGGATGAGCTTTGGGGATACACTCACCAATAACTCAGACTGACTTGAGCCCATGCAGGCCCCCCAAATGCCTGTTAGACTGATGTGGGGGGGGGTGAGCTCTATTCTGTTACCATTATGATCTCACTAGGGACACAGACCAGCCACCCCTGCACCAGCCCCAGACTGTGGTCACCCTGTCCCCATTGGCCCGGATCCCTTACCTTTGGACAGAACCACACAGAGGATAATGAGCATGAGCAGCAGTGTCAGGAACATGGCCAGGCAGACATACTTCCAAGTCTTGTCCGGGCGCGTCTGTCCCCATCGTCCTGGGGAAAACCAGGTCAGCCTCTCTCTCCCCAAGGATATCATTCTCTCGCCCCCTGAGATGCCTCAAACAGTCTGCAGGAAACTGCCGTATCCCCAGGGTGTTCTGGGTTCACTACTGGACCCACCCGGCCAGGAGGACTCAGAGAAGGTTGGGAAAGGATGCCTATTGCTCTAGTATAAGTCATGGGGGTGAAAACCACTGGATGAAAAGGGCCTCAGGAAGACTCAAACCTCAGATATTCCCTTCCCCCAACCTGTGAGGGAGTCCAGGAAATCCAGCACCCAGCTCTTGCTGACAAGGAAAAGGGTCCCAGCTCCCTGACTCACCAGTGCTTCCCTGCTGTGGGGTGGATTTGGCTTTCAGTGCTGTAATCTCATTGGGGTTTGGGAAGTTCCTGGCTTCAGCCATGGCCACAATTCACTCCCCTCTGAGATGCCCCTACATCTCTGGTGACTCTACCCAGCCCTTGGAAGGAAACACCCCCCCTCCCCAACCCTCCCACATTTGCCTTCCTTCCTGGCTCAGCGTGGGGCCCCAAGATCTCTAGATGGCATGTGATCAAGTAATCTGATGGGGGAAGGGACCTGGGCACCTGGGGCAGAGGCAGTGGGCACCGAGCTTCCCCTGAAAACTTGATATCTGCCCAAGGAGGTTAAGACACAAAACAACCCAGAACCGGATCCAAATCCCTGTACTCACACCATCACTACTCTCTGCTTCTAACAGCTTCGTGGTACAGTCATCTCAGGTTTGCACAGTAAGTGATGGACATTTGGCCTCAGGAAATCATTTGTGTGACTTTTTTCTTGGCTACAAAGGCAGGTGCCATTTCCCAGCACCATTAATTCATTCATTCATTCATGCCTTCATTCATGCATTCCTCTAGCTAGCTGATTATTATTTTAAAATTTTAAAATGCCAAATATAATGCAATGACAAAGGAAGAAGCAGTTGGCATTTACTGACTGCCCTCTGTTTGTCATATGCAATGAAATGCCTTTATACATTTTATCCCATTTCATCTTCACAAAAAACTATCCAAAATGGCGACCCTTCAACACAGAACAGATGCAAAGCACAGAGTGGTGAAAACACAAGACTAATAAAAAGCACAGCTAGGATGTAAATCAGTCCTTTCTGACACCAAGCAGTTTTCCCCATTATTCTCTGCTGTGTTACCAACATCAGTACTATGCACTTGAAAGGAAAGAGAAGTTGCCTAACTGTCTGAGTTGAATAGTAACCCCCTATCCCCCCCCCAAATGTATGTGTTAGAGCCCTAACCTCAGAAAGGACCTCCGGGACCTCAGAAAGGTCCTTATTTGGAAATAGGGTCATTGCGGACGTAATCAGTTAAGAGGAAATCATACTGGGGTAGGGTGGGCCCCCTCACCAACTTGACTGGTGTCTTTATAAAAAATAGTAAGTAGTCCACAAGGAGAATGCCACATGAGGATAAAGGCAGAGGTCGAGGTAATGTTTCTACAAGGCAAGGAACACCAAAGATTGCCAGCGTGGAGAGAGGCTGGCAACAAATCCTTCCCTCACACCCACCAGAAGGAAGCGGTCGGCTGACGCCTTGATCTGGGACTTCTATCCTCCCAAATTGTGAGACAGGAAGTTTCTGTGGTTTGAGCCACTCGGTGTGCCGCATTTTGTTACAAAAGCCCCAGGAAACTGACATACCACCTCTTCTGCGTATTGCATTGCAATCCTTAACCACATACATACATATTTTACACAATTATGACCATAGTAGTGTCTGTCAGAGAGTTTCCTCATGCTTCTAGGCAACCCTGATCATTTTTAAGTAGGAAAAAGCGCATGCACTTATTAGTAATCAGGAAAACACAAATCAAATGGCAAGGAGATATTATTACATGTGTATCAGATTGGGGCAAATCTTTAAGTCCGTGTTACTAAGTGTTGCTGGAGATACGGAGCCACTGGAACATTCCTATGTTGCTGATGTGAGTGTAAACTGGTGCAGTAATTCTAGAAAACAGTTGAGCACATACGACAAAGCTGAGAACACACTCAAGTGGAGTTGCACGTGTAAGTGTATACCCAACACCGGGGTGTGCATATTTGCGTAAGGCGGTGGGAAGAAGAATGCTCATCACAATTTTTTGTCATTGTCATAATGGAGAATTATCAAAAACCCATCTGAGTAGAATAGAAGAATAAATCATTGTATGTCCATATGATGGAAAACCAAAAAACATACATCAATAAAGATAAACCAATAAGAGCTATATACAGCAGCTTGGATGAGTCTTACATATTTTACTCTGATGAAAAAAAAAACTCTACACAAGATTACCTAAACTCTCTCTTCAGCAGCTAAAGCAATTATTCAAAAACAATTTGTGTGACCTACTTTCAAATGGATCAGCAATGAAGAGTGTGTGTGAAATAGGTAGGTAGGTAGGTAGGTGAGTAGATGATAGATAGATATCAATCTAGATAGATAGATAGTTGAGTAGATAGATAGGTGAATAGATGATAGATATCAATCTAGATAGATAGATAGTTGGATAGATAGATAGATAGATAGATAACTCAATAAAGTAAATATATCACTGAGTTAATAAATGGTGAAGCTAGATGAAAGGCACACAAGTTCATTGGACCATTCCTACAATCTTTTTGTAGAGCTAAATTTTTTTCAATTTGAATTTTGTGGAGAAAACATTAAAAAATGTGAAACACTAATATTCATAGTATTACTTTTAATAGCCTTAAGGCTGAAATAACTAAAATGTCCATCAATTCGTGAATGGATAAACAAATCATAATATCCACATAATGGAATACCACTGAGCAATGTAAAAGGAACGATTTCCTGATCTATGGAACAACATGAATGATTTTTTTTTTTAACGTTTATTTATTTTTGAGAGAGAGAGCACGAGCAGGGGAGGGGCAGAGAGAGGGGGAGGCACAGAATCTGAAGCAGGCTGTAGGCTCTGAAGTGTCAGTACAGAGCCTGCCATGGAACTTCTACTCACGAACTACAAGATCATGACCTGAGCTGAAGTCGCACACTTAACCGACTGAACCACCCAGGCACCCCCACAACGTGTATGATTCTTTAAAGCATGTTGAGGGGCACCCGGGTAGCTCAGCCGGTTGAGTATCTTACTCTTGATTTCAGCTCAAGTCATGGTCCCAGAGTCGTGGAATGAAGCCTGGAGTCAGGCTCCACACTGAGCATGAAGCCTGCTTAAGATTCTCTCTCCTTCTGGGGCGCCTGGGTGGCTTAGTCGGTTGAGCGTCCGACTTTCGCTTAGGTCATGATCTCGCAGTTCATGGGTTCGAGCCCCGCGTCAGGCTCTGTGCTGACTGCCAGCTCAGAGCCTGGAGCCTATTTCGGAGTCTGTGTCTCCCTCTCTCTCTGACCCTCCCCTGCTCACGCTGTTTCTCTCTCTCTCTCCTAGAAATAAATAAAAAATATTAAAAAAAAAAAAAAAAGATTCTCTCTCCTTCTGCCCCTCTCCCTCTCGCACTCTCTCTTTCTCTGAAATATTTACATACATACAAACAAGCATGTTGAATGACGCCAGACCAAAAGTACCAGCTTACTATAGGGTCTCACCTGTACAGAGCTAATTATAGTGACAGAAAGCAGAATATAGTTGTCTGAGGTTGTGGATGTGGGGATTGACAATGGAAATATTCTATATCTTGATTGTGGTGGGGATTCCATACCAAACTCATGAGAAGAGATAACTTAAGGGGCACCTGGGTGGCTCAGTGGGTTTAATGTCCAACTCTTGATTTCGGCTCAGGTCATGATCCCACAGTCATGAGATGGAGTTGATTATATCTCTCCCTCTGCTCCTCTCCCTTGCTCACACTCTCTCTCTCTCAAAAATGAAAAAAAATATATATATATAACTTATAATGAGGTCATTTTATGTAAACTGTCAATAGAGTTATTTTTTTATTTTTTTAATGTTTTTATTTATTTATTGAGAGAGAGAAAGAGACAGAACATGAGCGGGGGAAGGACAGAGAAAAAGGGAGACACAGAATCCAAAGCAGGCTCCAGGCTTCAAGCTGTCAGCACAGAGCCCGATGTGGGACTTGAACCTACAAACATCAGATCATGACCTGAGCTGAAGTCAGACGCCCAACTGACTGAGCCGCCCAGGCAACCCTAAAGTTGTTGTGTGGTGTTTTTTTTTTTTAATGATAAAACTAAACTATATTGTTTAGGGGTGTATACACACATGGGTAGAAAATTATAAAGAAAATCAGCAAATGATGATCAGAAATCCAAGATACTGGCTAAGTCTGGTGAATTAACCCATGTGATTGAGGAGTATGTGGGGCCATCTGGGTCGGGCAGGCATCTTTTACTGCCCTTGGGTTGTAAATGTGGGAACATTTAGCACATAACCATCCATTGATTATACCTGTTTGCTCACATATTTTGTGTATATGCATTATATTTCATAATAGAGGTTTTAAAATGTCATAAAAAGGAATATAAAAATACTTCACAAAGTTTAACTGCTGTGTAGTTGCTAATGGACTTTTATAGTCCTCTTGCTTTTTGTGATCAAATGTAAAAAAGAAAAAAAAAAGATGGGTTTTTCCATTTGGATGTCCTACTTGAGATCCAACTACCAAACAGCATTTTCTTTTTTCTTTATTTATTTTTTAAAATTTACATCCAAGTTAGTTAGCATATAGTGCAACAATGATTTCAGGAGTAGATTCCTTAATGCCCCTTACTCATTTAGCCCCTCCCCCCTCCCACACCCCCTCCAGCAACCCTCTGTTTGTTCTGTATTTAAGAGTATCCTAGGCATTTTCTAAGGACCTATTTTAGAGGTCAGCATAACAATAATGTCATCTTACTCTTACACAACACAGTTGGCTCCTATGTAACCACTAATTTCAGAACCTTTTTATGTCTGACGTTGGGTAATATTGCCTTCTAAATGATTCCCATAAATTCTATTTCCACTGTCCTGGAGAGAAATTATTCAAGGAAGGTCAAAGGTAAGGACAGAGCCTTCATATCCCTGGATTCACCATCTGGGAACCTGAAAGTGTTGGAGAAATATAAGAATTAAAACCCAAAGAACATGCCAATTCCTAAATACGGAATTAGCTCAGTTTATTACTGGACAAAGAAAGGATCCAGGATGCCTGGGTGCAGCCTGTAATTGGCTACAAAGATGCCAATGTTCAGCTCTATTTATAAGGAATTAAAATCACAGCTGACACCCATCACCCTTTAGGAAGCAGTCAGCAGTTACTGAATTTGCACTGGTATTTTGTATTAGTCATGCCTCTTTCTTTTCTGATGTGTTGACACTGGGGCCTTGCTGATCCTGGAGAAACTCGGCAATTTCTAGAGATAGCGAACAATGCATCTGGGAGCATATCTTTCCTATGAACATCAGCCAGTCCAAGGCCCATT